CAGGAAAAAAAAAGAAGGAATAAAAAATAAAGTGATATATTCCAAAGCACTTATCACTTATATCGGTAAATGACAGGCCCATTTGGAGCCGGTTTAGCTGCAGAAGCACCAGCACCAGATGCAGCAGCAGAAGTGCCAGCTTCTTCACCATCACAAAACCATCTCCACGACCAAGACTATATCACCCGGCCGCTTTCTTCTTCTCGCCAATCTCCCACCCCGACGGCCTCCGCTTTTTCGGACCCAGGATTTCCTGATCCTGAACAGCAACAACAAAATGCCGCCGACCCGCCCCTCGATCTTTTGACATTTTCTGACGTCCCGACCAATCTGGTACAGCTAGGACCTCTCCCTACCGACATTCATAACAACATCAATAATAATAATAATTCTCCCACAATTAAGACCAAGCACCATCAAGCACGTAGACCTTCTCCTGGCTTGGCAGCTCGTCTCAAGGCTCTAGGTTTCGGTGGCCAAAGACAGGCTTCGTCTTTGCCCTCGTCGCCATCCCATGAAAACGTCGGCCGCTTACCAGAAGACCAGCTGCGGCTACTCGACCAAAAGCATCAAAGCAATTCTACCGAGCTTGTCGTCGAGCGACGTGGTCGTCCTTGGAAAGGTGCTGGTGCACCTCTCCAATTGTTAAGGTCTAGATCTAGCCGCGACTCATTTCGGAGGAAGAGTGCCAACGAGGAAGAAAGGCCTATCTCGCTCATTCAGGCCGAATCCTCTCCCAAGCCCGAGCTACTACCAGAGATAATAGAGGCGCCGCCATTGGAAATGGACACCAACAAATATCGATTACCCGACCACACGAATGGAAATGGCACCAAAGCACAGCTCGATACCCGGAGGGAGCACATCGAACGAGACTCGCGCGTTCCGAAATTAGAGGTCGTCGACGACTCCGAAACGCCACCGCCTTTACCTCCTAAAGATACACCTCCTGGGAGTGCAGCCCCTGCGGATTTTACCTCCGACTTGCCAAGCTACTTTAACCCCCTCGGTCTTCAGCGCGCAGGGTCCATATATACGATATCCCGCGCGTCGTTTGCTAACCAGCTTGCCCAGCTTACTGCGCTCCAGCTGCCCGACGCCGAGTTATTGTCGAGTAAGGTCGCCGCTATTCCCACGGCCCAAGCGGCGGCGAAGGCCTTACTGGGTGCTGCTGAACAGATACGTAGTTGGATCTCGAAAGCCTCTGAAGTCATCGGAGGCCTAGACAGCGATGACGACGTCGAATGGGCCGCGGCCGGGGGCAGAGAAGGATATGAAGAAGTAGAAAATGCCATCACAAGATTCGAAGGGCTTATCAATGTCTACGTGGGCGCCATTGAAGAGCTCCAAAATAGGCCAGATATTGCTAGCGTATCCGGCGAGGACCTCCAAAAAGCGGTCACGCAGATGGAAGCCATTATGAATGCATGGGCTAAGATTCGGCACACTCTGAATAATATCAAGGACCAGGTCGAGACGGCTATGGAGTGGGAGGAGCTATGGAACATGGTTCTAGGCGATATCCAGAACGAAATGGACGAGCTAAGCCGACTAATATTCGAAATGGAGGAGCGGCGCCATAAATCCATGATGGCCGTTTCAAGTGGGGATGGAATGGATATAGGCGACTTAGAAACCATCGTCGAGGAGACGCCCCCAGCTGTCATGCGCAATAATCGATTCAGTGTGCCATCGTTTCCGCTTAGTCCAAGCTCCCCAGGAACTCCCGCACTCACCCAAGATGACTCGAGCTTACTTGCACTGTTCGCGCGGATGCAGCCCCTAAGAGCATCGTTGGACTTTTTACCCATGCGACTCTCGGTATTTGAAGCGAGAGCTTCTAGGGCCTTCCCGACAGCCTGCGAAGAGTTGGAAATGAGGAGAACCGGCTTGGAAGCTAGCTACAAGAAACTTGAGAAGGACGCCGAATCCCTTAGAAAGGAGCTTGGCGAGGACAAGTGGGTTCTCGTTTTCCGCAGTGCTGGTAGGCAGGCTCAGAAGATGATCGAGTCTGTAGACCGGAGCATGACAAAAGTGTACGAGGCGGTGGATCAGGGCTTACAGCACTCCAGTCCCGCGGCGATGAGTAAGAAGATCGAGAGTTACGAGGCAAAGAGGGTGCATTACGGGCCGGCAATCGAGCGTGTGCTATCTATCATCGACAAGGGTGTCAAGGATAGACTTACTGTGAACGGCGAAATTCTTCGGCTACATAACGAGTTGGAATCCAAGTGGGACGAGGCAAGAGAATCGATGAAAAGGCTAAGCGTTATCATAGAGGAGATTCAGTCTAAGAAGCATAGTCAACAATTACGGGACTCGATTTCCAGTATGCTCTCAAACGATAGATCAACTATTGCTAGTGGCAATGAGACTCCGGGAAGTTCGCCGCCGTCATCAGTCGTCATGTCCAGCATAGGTCTAGAGTCAAACAGTTCCTTGACGCAGCATAAGAGGCGTACTACTACAAGCGGCGGAAGTCATCTACCTCAACCTGCTACGGCTCGCAGGAGTAGTTCGAGTTTAGCCCTTCCTTCACGGCGACCCCCAGGATCTCGACTGTCTACATTCCAGCCGAGTACCACTAGCCTGACCACACCGCCTCGAAGTGGTAGTGTCACACCCCTCACCCGTCTCCCAAGATCTAATTCCAATAACGCCGATAGCCGCCCGCGATGGAATGCCTCCACAAATACCAATGATTCTGATGTAGGACATAACTTCAAACCACTTACCCTTACTACCCCCAGCCCATATGCTAAAGAAACGTCTTCCGTACGCTCGTCATCCTCACTTGGGCAGTCTTCAGGGGGCTCCAAGCTTCCTCTCCGCAGTCCATTAGCAACGGCAAGTTCATCCTCACCAGCTCTTGGGGATACACCTCCTAGGAAGAGTACATCTCGGCTCTCCTTCCGTGACCGGATTAATGCTGCTGCTTCCGCAGGACAATCCGTTTCATCGTCGGCAGCCAAGCCTCGGTTTGCAACACAAGGGTCTTCTACCTTTGATAGTCGAAGAGCTTCACTCCAGCCACCAAGACTAGATTTTGGTTTGAGCGATGTTAGGCGATCGTCTAGTTCCTTGTCGACGAGCAACCGTCGCACTAGTTTACTCCCTCAACCTAAGTCGAAGATGGATGATTCAACTGGCCGCCACAGCCCACAGGCTACCGCTGCGGCACGTGCTGCTATGCACAGGGGCAGCACCCCGATAGAATCGAAGCCAAAAGATAACAAACCCCGTTGGCACTTTTAAGTAATGAACACGCTATTTTGCTAAATAGCCTCGCGTCTCATAGCGAGCGTAACGACAGAGAGGGTCAGGCCACTCCCTTGTACTATCCCATTTGTCGGAGTCCCGCAAGACGGACTTATCTCCTTGTCCTCGATTCTATTTCAACGACAGCACGAAAAACTATTGTTTTCTTCTAGTCTTATTGGCATTTAAGTTATACAATCCTTAATGGGTTAGCGGCCGACACGAATCTCGTTGGCATGAGGCAACCGAGCTAAGCCGCTACGTTTCCCTTGGAGTTTGGATTATCCATCACATATCCATATTCATCCCGCCATACTTGACGTGGAAACGAGGGTAGACGCAGCATGGTAGATGCGGAGGTGGGCCAAGGCGTTCTTAGGGTATTTTTAGGTTTCAACAGGGGTCATGATGGAAACGGTCCCATCACAGTGATACCTATTATTTATGTCTTTTTATTATATCCAAATCCCATCCGTACTATAAGCATTCTTTGGGGAGGGGGGCAGTCGTTGGCATATAACTGAAGGGGCGAACGGGCGCTTTTGTCGTTCTAGAGGTTAAGCAGATTGAGCATGCCGAGAGTGAGATATGTGCGAGAGAGAGATTCGTAAGTCTTAGCGAGAAGACAAGGTGAGGTAGAGGGATGTTTCACCGTCCCTCTGGGCAAGCGGGACGGTGAACCCGGGGACTAGAAGCAAGCATTCTGTTGTACGATATATATCTACTATCTATCTACTGTACCTACGTAGCGCATTCATTCATCGGCCGTATTTTTCGACGTCCAGCGGCGTATGGTATGTATGGGCGGGAGAGGCTAGTCGGGATAAGCAGGCAGGCGTAGTCGATAAATTTGAGAATTGGTGTTGAGCCATAGCGTTGTGTTTTAACAGATACATAGTCATGTCGGCTTTTAATATAATTCTAACCAACTACCTAACCTACCATATCTAATCTCTCTTCTATTCTCGTCTTGCTAAAGGACTTAGATAGGGGCCAGAACTTGCTTCGTTCGCTATTAGCCGTTTCTATCAATACTAGGTGATCGAGTTCTATAGGTAATATAGTTAGAAATATTTCTATGGTTACTATATCAAGATACGAAACCCCTGAATATTCTGGCTTGGTCCTTTAGGTACTCAAACAAGTATTCCTTCAACGACAAGAGTCTTCCAGGAAGCCCGGGAATTGTCTAAAACGTACGTATATTGCTACGTTGAACGTCTCGCCAGGCTTTACGTATGTATATATTACCCCCTCCTTTCACTGACTTTCCTATTATGATATTAGAGTCATGATTCAAAGCTTACTATCAGCTACGCGGCACTTCTAACATCTCCAATAACAGTTTAAAAGTTTAACTCTTAAGGGGGAATTTATTACGGTAGACAGAAAGACACTCGAATAGTATATTATAGTTAACTCTTTAAGACTAACTATGCAAAAGAATTAAGCCGATGGAACAGGTTTATGCTTTGGGTAGTAGTAAACTACTAAAATACTGCCCTTTCAATCTCGTCATTCGGGCATATTCCCGTTTAAAAAGCCTCGCGTCGTCCAAATGCCTAAGCTTCTCTTCTCGATATCAGCCGAGGCCCCCTGCCCATATAGTCATTAACGTAGGGGCGGGCAACCAGATATACCGGTGGACGCCGGGGTCTACACTCACGTATAACGTCGACCGGGACAGCTTTCCCGACGCCTTTACTTTAGCGCATGCGCGTAACAGTCTCAACGAGGCTGCCATGGAATGGAACATAGGCAATGTCGGCATACGGTTCCAGGACGTTCCAGACGACCAGCCAGCCTTGTTCCGCCTTACGTACATGAGCTACGATAGTAGACACCCCACTGCTTTAGCCGCGACTTTCTTGCCGGGCGTACTTGGCGACCAGCGACTATATGTGTATCAATCATGTTTCGGAGAGCTGTACGTGGAGCGTATGACCACTGCCTTTTGCCACGAACTCGGGCACATCCTCGGGCTACGGCACGAGTCTGCGGAAGAGGATGCGGATGAGATGACGCCATGTTTCCCGTCGTATCTGCTTGGACGGCGCAATCGCTTCTCGATTATGACCCGTTCCCTACATCCAAATATATACCGCATCCATGAGGAGGACTATGCTGGTGTGAGACGCTTCTACGGTGCTCGTGCTGACGAATTTCGTGGATACAGAATCATAGACAGAGACCCGAAGGTCTATGAGAAGAAGCTATGGGGAACTTACGGTAGAACTGTATTTGGGAGTTATGCCCTACTTCGTTGGTTACGGATTTCCCTGGTGGATATAATTTACCTTTACGTCGAACGGGTGAGAGATACTTATCAATGATTTTATTGATGTAACGAATAATGACAGACATGCACTGGTCTTTATGTCTTTATTATGGACACAGTATAATTAATATATCGTCGCGACACTCGTTTGCGATCAGTTTTACGGCCGTTGGGACATATACCTTAGGTAGTAATCATATTTTATTGTATTTTATCTTCCCCTTCCCCTATTCTCTCCCTACCTCCTCAACACTCAATCCCAAAGACGTGAATCGCACACCAAGTAAATTATCCCCGCGGTGAAGTCATAAAACACCATCCAAGACGTCTAGGTATCTAGTTATCTACCGCCATGCCGGGAAATAAAAGGCGTCGTTTGGTTCGTAGTCCACGTCGAGGTAGAACTGTAGGTAGACCTGAGAATGACAAGATGAATGCACGCAGACAACCGTGTCTTGACCGGGCAAAAACATCATTAAAGAATATCAGAACGCCTTCGCGTACGCCGGTACTGTCCCCTGCCCTATTCATGCGATCGTCCATACCATGCAACAAGCGTAAAACGCGCAACGTAGTAACTTTGTATAACACGCTCCATTCAATGAATCAATAAAAGCTCAATTCCTCAATGCTCCATCAATCCGATGCCGCTGTGACTTACGCCCTGTGATCTCGCCCTACTGCCACCGCTAGTTCCTGCACCTGCTGATTTTCCCGTTCGTTTTGATCCGCCGAAAGCGGTCGAGGATGTAGTCTTTCGACTACCGGTAGTGGCTTTCTTCTTAACGCCACCGTATGGCTTGCTTCCCCTAGTAGAGCCCCCCGAGGACCGACGCTGGAATGGCTTCTTAGTTCCGCGCCATGTGGTCCCCTTTGACGGCCGAGCCGCGGACGGGGTGGGTTGCGCACGGGACGCCGTGGCCCCTCGGCCCACATGCCCAGCTAGAGGTACGAAGTAGGACGATACCGCACCCGGGTCATCGAAGTCCTCTTCCCCATCGTCCTCGATATCGTCCATACCGTCGTCACTTGACACGAGGTCAACGACATCGCGAGAGCCAGACGCAGTAGCGACAGCCTGAGGGCTCGTCTGACCCATGATCTCTTGATATCGCTCATGGTATTGTTGTATTAGGGGTAGCATTCTACTACCGTACCTATCCACCTTATCATTATTGATACCAGGAATCAAGTGCATCTTATCGAGAGAAACGGTCCATCTTATAGCCATCTCTCGGAGTTGTTGCTCGGTAAAAATAGGCGAGCGCAAATTCTTCGAGTTCCGTAGATTCTCTTCCAGATCTTTAGCCTCCTTGAGGAAGCTGTGGAGGATATCGTCGTATAGGCCGGATAACTCAACACTGTCCATACGCGCATCATGGGATATTGGCGGCCCCAGCGTAGCTCGTTGGGATCGGGCTCTAGATCGTGGAGGAGGCATCGTTTCAAAGTCGTCGTTAGAATCATCAGCGACTACAAACCCATCTTTAGCATACCCATTGCTAAATCTGGAATACTCGTCGTCGTCGCTATCTTCGTCATCCGATATCATTAAGGCCTTCCCTTTCTTCTTACGGTCCCTACCTAGAATAGGTGACGACACGTTCGTAGATGGGATATGGCTAGGGGCGGCCCGTTTCGTCGCTGTAGTAGCCGGTTGGCTGATTCGTGTCTGCCTCTTAGATATACCGCCCTGACTATCCTTGTCCTTAACTCGGGTAGTTAGGAAAAGTTGGCGTTGGTTGTTTAAGAAGACACGCGCCCTAGGCCCAACCTATAGCGAAATAGTTAGCGAAGAAGCGGTTAAAGATCAATAATTATTTACCTTAAAATATTGAATAGCCATCCTAGACTTTTTGTTGAAGATATTCTCTTCCCTCAGTGCATCCTCCGAAACGAGTCGGTCGACAATTCGATGTATGTCGTGTTTTTGCATCTGCTTCGCGATCCCACGATATTGTTCCGTTCCCGGTTTGTAGTCCGATATCTTCTTCTTTCCCATCAAGAAATCCGTACATTGAACGAGCGTAAGCTTTCCTTGGGACTTGATAATCGCTAAAACCGCAACCGCATACTCGCTAAAGTCCTTTTGCACGAATTCCTCCCCGTTCACACAATTATCACAGGTCTTGCCGCACTGCTCTTTGTCAAATGCTTCTCCAAAATAACGGAGAATCTCCACTCGTCGGCAGTCACTTTGGTTATCGCAGAAGGCGGCCACAGTGTTTAACATATTCCTCTGCCTCTCCTTCTGTTCTTCGCTACCATCGCCGTCGGTAATCATCCGCCTCAGGGAGGACACGTCGCCATAGTTAAAATATAAATAGCACTCGGAAGGTAACCCATCTCGACCGGCGCGACCAGTCTCCTGGTAATATCCTTCGAGGCTCTTGGGGATAGAGTGATGAATGACGAAGCGAACATCGGGTTTATCAATTCCCATGCCAAAGGCTATAGTTGCCACAACGACCTTGGTTTCACCGGCTTGCCAACTTGTCTGGACATTTACCTTCTCGTGGGCTTTGATGCTTGCGTGATAGTGCTGAGCGGCGATTCCGTGGCTTCGCAGCTTCTCAGCAATCTTTTCCGCTGATTTACGGGAAAGAGTATATACGATGCCCGTCATCCCACTATATCTCGAGTTGATTAGCTCGGCAATGCTTCCAACGCTATCCTTTTCCTTTTTCTTAACCTCGTAGTAGAGATTGGGACGATTGAAGCTCTGCGAAAATTCCTGGCATGTCTCGATCCCTAGATTGTGCTTCACATCGAGAATGACATTCTTCGTTGCAGTGGCCGTGAGAGCCATCAGGGGTACACCGGGGAACGTTTGTCTGAAGCTGCCGAGTTCCTTGTAGTCGGGACGAAAATCATGACCCCATTGGCTCACACAGTGGGCTTCGTCAATTACGAGACGCGCAAGCTTCTTATTTTCGTAAAGGGTGGCCAGACCGTCTAGGAAAGCCTTGCTCTTATTGATCATCTCGGGGGTGACGTAGAGAAGCTGCACGTGATGTTCAGGATGACTCTTCTTCAAGTGATCCATGATTTCATTACGGGTTGACTGAGCCAGCTCGCCGCTGAAGGCATAAGCCTTGATATTCAACGCTTTGAGGTGCTGCACCTGGTCCTGCATCAAGCTGATAAGGGGGGATACGACAACTGTAACGCCATGCGTCTTTCCACTCGTTATCACAGCCGGGAGTTGGTAGCAGAGGGATTTGCCGCCTCCCGTGGGCATTAGAATGAATGCGTCTCTACCCGCTAGAGTGGCATCGATTGCCTCGAGTTGGTTATGTCTGAACCCAGTCATTCTAAACCTATCTTTTAATGCTTTTTTCACATCTTTAAACCACGGGCGGTTTTTGAGTTCACGTGGAATTTGTGCTGACATTGACGGGTCTATAGTCTTCGCGATGGCTACTTTCTGGGGTCGTACACCCACATTCCCAGACGTTTCCGAAAGGACGGGACGATGAGTCCTGAGCAGTCTGTTCTCCGACGATGATTGCCGGAGATCAAGCTCCTCTGCAAATTGAACCATGTCAACATCGTCGCTGTAGTCGCTCTGGTAACCTTGCTGTTGGCTAGACTTTGCTTTAGTCGGGCTCTTGCGGCCCTTAAGGATTCCTGGTTGAGAATTTATCGTCCTCGTTGGTACATGTCGACTAACTGGGGGCACCGAATCATTGAACGGGTCATCGTCGTCATCAAAATCATAGGGATCCTGACTTATGGCTACAGGCGGTTTTTGACGAGTGGGGGGCTTTGCTGGCCTGCTGTTGCTAGTTATAGTAAACGGCGGTTGCTCGTCTAATAGTTCACCACTTTCGGGTATAGGAGAAGCGACCTGACGACGAGATCTTCCTGCAGTATTCTGCGGCGGCACCGGGAAATCGTCGTAATCTTGCTCCGGAATCGGGAAAGAATCGTCTGCTTGATGAGAAAGCTGCGTTTGAAGAATTACTTGAGTATTACCTCGTGGGATAAGTGTCGACTCCCGCGAGAAACTCGTCGGCGGCGCAGGTCTGGCTAGTTGAGTTGCACGTACAATAGGATTGGGAGGCTCGGCTTCGGTGCTACGGGTCTCACTTGTCTCAAAAAAATTCAGATTGTCGATACCGGCTTTCAGAAGGCTAGGCTTTAGAATTGATCGGCGTTCTTTGAGTAAATCCTCTACTTCTTCAAGTCGGGCCTCATCGTCCTGTGTATCTAAATCTTGATCGTAGGCGTCTGAGATACGCGAAATCAAGGCCTCTTTCTTGAGCTGAACTTCCTGGTAAGAACGAAGGTCCCTTGAGAGGTCGCCTAAAGCTGCCTGTTGTCGTGCTAGTCGCTCTTTCTCCTGCTTGAGGCGACTCCTGGGCCCGAGGTCACCGCTTTTCAAGGACTCTTTATATGCGTCTTTGTTGCCTCGTAGTTTCTTTTCCAGCAATTCATTCGCCCTTTCGATGGTGACTAAAGGTTGTGCGAGGAATAATTCCAGAATAGTATCTTGTTCATCCTCATCAATCACGATACTTAATTCACTCATCATTTGAGATCTCTGCGAGGGGCCAACTTCCAGGTCCTGGTCGTAGCCCCTAGCCATACTGACTTGGGAGGATACATGCTGCTCGGGTTTCCGGGATGAGCGAAACGGTGTGTGCCTCTCACTTTGGGCTACCTGCTTCGGTTTCGATGGTGTGTCGTAGGCGACAACATCATCAGCAACATCCTGAGATATCCGAATAGAAGTCTTAGGGCGGCTACTTGAGTGAGCTGTGCTATCTGGTGCGTTATAAGTAGGGGGCGTCATAAGCTCGTCATCTGAATCCTTGATAACTCGGTTATCGGGCTTGGAAGTTGGATCTTTCCGCGTCGTTTGTGCCGTGCGCGCTTTGGGAGTCTCCGGAGTATCTTCCGAAAACGAGTCATGTTCGGAAGGGGTTGCACGCCTGTCCTCGGCATCTGTCGCGTCATAAGGAGCAACATTTTTCAATGATAACTTGTTAGGAGATCGCTTTATAGTACGATCAGTAGCGGACGAAGAGTCATCTGTGGCCTCTTCTCCTC